CTGCGCACAGGGAGTAAGCCGGTAGCGAACTCGGCCTGCCCTCTCGGCGCTTGGCAAGCAAGCTGGCAGCGAACTCTGCAGTCGCTTTTTCGCGCGCACAGTTTTCCGTACCTTCACAGTTCAACGTGCCTTCTCTCTCCTTCCCAGATGGAAGAGCTTCCGCTCAGTCAGCCGTCCGGCGCTTCAGGGTGATGTTTCCCCTGTTTTTCAGTTCTAAATTCAAACTTGTTGTGGTAGGCTGCATTTGGGCGTCTGCCCTATGCCACCATCTTGGTTCTTCCCCTTGGTTTTCATTTCTGATTTCACTCTTATGTGAAATGTAATGAATAACAGATTAACAAGCAAAATAGAATTACAGACTCACAGGTAGAGAGAACAGGCTGACTGCTCAGTATGTATGTGGGGTGAGAAGGGGGCTGGGTGAGAAAGGGGTGGTGAAGGGATTGAGCCAAAAAGAGAAAAAACTCATGGACATGGACAACAAGTGGTAATTGCTGTGGAAAGGGGAGGTGGAAGAGGGAACAGGAGGAATAAATGGTGTTGGATGGAAACTTGATTTGGGGTGGTGAACACATAATACAGTGTACAAATGATGTGTTGTAGAATTGTGCACCTGAAACCCATATGATTTTATTAAACAATGTCACCCCAAGCCTACCTAAGAATAATATGCAAATTAACCATCACTTTGCTCCACAAGCCACATCCACCAACCAATCAGAGCGAGCATGCAAATAAACCCAACCAAGATGGCTACAACCACAGAGAGCAGGAGGGAGGTGTTTCCCTGGCAATGGAGGAAGCCAAGCTTTCCACCTGCCGGGTCTAAGGCTACTAAGTTTCAATAATAGTAGGTAAACAAATCCAAACAGCAACAGCCGCCATCACTGAGTGAGCAGAAGGCTTGGCTCTGCTCCAGGCTACAAAGTTTCAATTCTGGAAAGTAAATATATCCCAGATACCAGGGCCTCATCTTGGGTCGCTGGGGGGTGTGGCCGGCCTGCAAACCACCACAGGCCCCTCACTCAGGCTACCCCACACCCCAAGGAAACCTCCACCCTGATCCGGGACACCCTTCAGGGCAAACCAGCTGGCCCCCACCTGTGCACCAGGCCTCTATCCTATCTGATAAAAGAGTAATAAGCAGATAGACCATCACTCCAACACACAATATGGCTCCTGCCCCCATGTGGACACAAGATGGCCAGCAGAGGAGGACGTTGGGAGGAACCAGGCATGCAAGGGAGGGCAGCTGAAGGTGATCAACCCTGCAGGGGAGGGAAGTTAGGGGTGACCAGGCTGGCAGAGGAGGGAAGTTGGGGGCAAACGGGCTGGCAGGGGAGCAGTTAGGCATAAATCAGGCTGGCATGGTTAGGGGCGAGCAGTTGAGATCCAGTAGTCCTGGATTATGAGAAGGATGTCTGACTGCCCGTTTAGGCCCAATCCCACTGGGACCAGGCCTAAATAGGGAGTTGGACATCCCTGAAGGGGTTCCAGATTGGAAAGGGTGCAGGCTGGGCTGAAGGACACCTTCTCCCCTGCCTCTAGTAAACTCAATAAAGATGGAGGGGAGAGTATGCCTCAAACACTGTACCAGTCACCATCAATCATTTTAAATCAAGAGAGCTGCTGTTGGGTTACACTGAAAGCTTAGTAAAGTGAAATAAAGGCATAAGAAAGCCAAAGTTGTGCAATACAAGATTTCATGGGAGAAAAGTGAGCAAACATCTTACTAATAAAGCAGGAAAGTGAGAAATTGAGAAATATACATTAGGGTGACTTAAATCACAATATCTAAATTTTGGGAGTAATATGAACCAAATCACTTATTAGAACATGTGCATTACCCTAGCCAGTTTGACTCAGGGGATAGAACCTCTGCCTGTGGACTGAAGGGTCCAGGTTTGATTCCGGCTAAGGGCACATGCCTGGGTTGCAGGCTTGATCTCCAGTGCAAGGTGTGCAGGAGGCAGCTGATTAATGGTTCTCATCATTGATGTTTTTATCTCTCTCTTCCTCTCTGAAATAAATAATATCATCATTGAAATAAATAATATCATCATTGATGTTTCTATCTCTCTCTTCCTCTCTGAAATAAATAATATATATATATTTAAAAATATGCATTTGTGTGAATTTTTAGGGAAAGAATTAGGGATGGAGGGAGTAGGCACCCATTCTAAAAAAATGAAATATATTTCTAGAGCAAAAAAATTGGGCAGAAAAAAGTTTCTCCCTTAACCTGAACTCATTTTGGAAAAAGTTTCATTTATTTAAAAAATTTAAAGTACTAAGCAGAATTTAAAAACCATATTTATTAAAGGCCTTGCCACAGTAGCATAATTTTAAAACACTGATATTCCACTTCTCTAAGTAGATTTCAAGATATTGCCCAAACCAAAAGGCAACCTACAGTGGTTGAGAGTGCAGTAGCCTGGCTGCCATTACTAATGAATGAATTTGGGCTAGTTACCTTATCAAAGCCTCAGGTTCTCATCTTAATCCATATAAAGTGCTGATCCAGTGTTCAGTTAAGTAAAAGCTGCCTATGTTGTTGCTTCATTATTATTAACAACAGTACACATAGTCAAAACTGAGCCTTTGGACACAGAGAATAGGAGGTGAGGGCATGAGGGGGGGGCTGGGAAAGTAATGGAGGGATGAGGATAAATATGTAATACCTTAATCAATAAAGAAATTAAAATGCAAAAACACACACATACACACACAAAAAAAACCCTGGGTCCTAATATTGCTTTGGTAATTTAAAAAAATAAATATTTTTTAAAATGCGGCTGAAAACTCAAATTTTAGGGAGAGAAGGGATCAAAATTCAGTCCTTACATAAAGACCTCAATAAATAAGAATCCATTTCTTGTGAAAATTTTCACTACACAGTTCTAAGTTCAAGAACCTTTGCCAGTATTAAAAAAAAAAAAAAATTATTCTTGATGAAAAAGAAAACTCAAAACCAAGTGAGTTAGAATTTAATATATAAATAGAAGCTATAAATGAAATTTATATTATAAAGAGAAACGGGAAATTCTTCCAAAACTCATAAATAAAGCCAATTCAATTATTTGTGAAATAAGAGAATCAAGGATAAAACAGTGTGCCGAAACCAGTTTGGCTCAGTGGATAGTGTCGGCCTGTGGACTGAAGGGTCCCAGGTTTGCTACCTTGGTTGCGAGTACATCCCCAGTGAGGGGTGTGCAAGAGGCAGTGATCTATTAATATGTTTCTAACTCTCTATCCCTCTCTCCCTCTCTCTTCCTCTCTGTTTAAAAAAAAAAAAAAAATCAATAATAATAATAATAAAAAAGGATAAAACAGTGGACACATCATTAAACCAAATTTATGTGTTAGGGTTTTTTTTCATGATTTTTTTTTTTTTAAATCCTCACCAGAGGATATTTTTTATTGATTTTTTTTTTAGAGAGTGGAAGAAAGAGGGAAAGACAGAAACATTGATGTGAAGTAAAACACATCAACTGGTTGCCTCCTGCACATGCCTTGGTCAGGGCCTGGGCCAGGGAGCAGCCTGTAACCGAGGTACATGCCCTTGATGGGAATCAAACCCAGGGCCCTTCAGTCTGCAGGCCAATGCTCTATCCATTGAACCAAACCGCCTGGGCTGTGTGTTAGTTTTAACATTATTCCTCTGTAGCCCACAATAAAACATTTTTCCAAATTGCTGATGAAAAAATTTAACTTCAGTGAGTTCCTTCCATCTTTTTATTCTTCCTTACCACCAGCAGGAGCTACAAAAAGCAATAAAGTAACTAAAATTGAAGTGGGAACAGAAGAGAAAAACAAAGGACCTGGATAACCAAACCTGTGAATAATCTGAAATGGATTAAAATTGATAGTTTTATAAAAAGATCTAAAAATTGTGTTATTTTAATTAGCAGTAAAATCTGATATAAAAAATTCTGTATAATAAAGAGGTAATATGCAAATTGACCATCACACCCTCAAACAAGATGGCCACCCCATGTGGTCACAAGATGGCCACCACAAGATGGCTGGCAGGGGAGGGCAGTTGTGGGTGACCAGGCTGGCAGGGGAGGGCAGTTAGGGGCAATTGGGCCAGCAGGGTAGGACAGTTAGAGGTGACCTGGCTGGCAAGGGAGGGCAGTTAGGAGTGACTGGGCCAGCAGGGGAAGGCAGTTAGGGGCAATTGTGCCAGCAGGAAAGCAGTTAGGCATTGATAAGGCTGGCAGGGGAGTGATTAGGGGCAGTCAGGCAGGCAAGTGGTTGGGAGCCAGCAGTCCAGAATTGTGAGAGGGATATCCGGTTCAGGCCAAATCCCAGGGACATCCCCCGAGGGGTCCCAGATTGGAGAGGGGTGCAGGCTGGGTTGAAGGACACCGCCCCCAGTGCACAAATTTTGTGCACTGGGCCTCTAGTATGTTAATAATGCGTATTAGCTTATTAGCTCTGGCCAGGTGGTTCAGTTGGTTGAGTGTCATCCTGTGCACCACAAGGCTGTGGGCTCCATTCCCAGTCAGGGGTGAATATGGGAGGCAACCAATCAATGTTTCTCTTTCACCCCCCCCCCCCCATCAATACAGAAATATATTCTCAGGTAAGGATTTTAAAAAATATATAAAAGTATGCGTTATATCTGTAGTAATAATGTGAACAACATACAAAATATTCCTTAGGTATTCAAAAATAAGATGCTCATCTCATGGATAGTTTTGACATGTCTTTTCCCCACTTTCATAGTACTCTTAACTTAAAGGAAAATATTAACAAGTCCAAGCTATACCTGTTTGTCAACTGCAATCACAGGTTGGCTACAAATAGTTTGGCAGGACTCAATGAAAGCATTCTGTGAGAACTAATCAGCTATATAGAGTCTAAAATAGGAATATTATCTATTTCATTATTACTTGTAAGTTCTTTACTGTATTCTCTATATCAGTAAAATTTATAAAATTATTGTAAAAAAAAAAAAAAAGGAAGAAAGAAAGAAATGAGATAAAACACGATACCTGAATATCTTTCTTGACTGGTTTAGCTTTGTTATCCACAATTTTATTCCTAAATTCAAGAAGAACTTCTTTACAGTCTTCAAGATGAACCTCAGGCTCCCAGGTATCATCATCTGAGGTGTATCCTTTCCACCGAACTTTGTAAAGGATTTTACCCTGTTACATAAATTAAAAACAGGCAAATAAAAGACATTACTGACTTGATCAAATTTCCAAAATAATACAATTACTGAGAATACAGGAACAAAACTTGAAATAGAGATTAATATCATTATAAAGTATGTCCATCTCCTGAAATGGCTTAAGAAAAAAAACAGGAGCACATCAAAAGCAAAAACAAAGCTTCTGCATAGCAGAGAAAATAACAAACAAGATGAAAAGGCAGCCCACTGAATGAAAGAAAATATTTCCAATTTTATAAGGAGCTAATATTCAAAATATATAAAGAATTCATATAACTCAACAGCAAAAAACCAAACCAATCTGATTCAAAAACGGGCAGTTCTAAATAGACATTTTTTCAAAGATCTACAAATGGCCAACAGCTACATGAAAAGATGTTCAAAATCATTAATCATCAGGGAAATGCAAATAAAAACTATACAGGTATCACCTCACATATGTTAGAATGGCTGTTGTCAGTAAGACAAAAAATAACAAGTGTTGGTGAGGATGTGCAGGAAAAAAAACCCTATTCACCACTGGCAGGAATGTCAATTGGTGCAGCCACTGTGGAAGACAGCATGGAGGTTCCTCAAAATATTAAAGTAGGTTTACAGTTGTACATATGGAAAACTAGTGGCCTGGAGCACAAATCCATTCACACTGAAAGAAAATTAGAAGAAATATTTTAATACTGCTATTTGTCTTTTCTCTATAATTGAAGGATCAACCAAATTCACCATGGATAATGACAGATCAAAACACGTGTATGCCGAAACCGGTTTGGCTCAATGGATAGAGCGTCGGCTTGGGGACTGAAAGGTCCCGGGTTCGATTCCGGTCAAGGGCATGTACCTTGGTTGCGAGCATATCCCCAGTAGGGGGTGTGCAAGAGGCAGCTGATCGATGACTCTCTCTCATTGATGTTTCTAACTCTCTATCTCTCTCCCTTCCTCTCTGTACAAAATCAATAAAATATATTTAAAACAAAATAAAACAAAACAAAAAAAAATACGTGTATGACTACCGTAGCTCCAGTGAGAGCTTTATACATACCGTGCATGTGCGAGTCAACGTAGCCTTTATATAGAATAAACTTAATTGGACTTGCTTTCTGATTTAGCTAAACTTTTTCCAGCCCATTGAAGCATTCTGTGGTGGCAGCCATTTCTGTTGGAATTTATTGAATTTGCATCTCTTTGATGATCAGTGATTTTGAGCTAAAGATACATAAATTTATAGAAGATTCATAAATTCCAACAGAAATGGCTGTCGCCAGAGTGAGCAGGAGGCTTGGCTCCGTTCCAGGCTACAAAGTTTCAATTCTGGAAAGTAAATATATCCCAGATACCAGGGCCTCATCTCGGGTCTCTGGGGGATGTGGCTGGCCTGCAAACCACTGCAGGCCCCTCGTCCAAGCTGCAGCACACCCCACAGGAACCCTTACTCTGATCCAGGACACCCTTCAGGGCAAACCAGCTGGCCCCCACCCATGTACCATGCCTCTATCCTATCTAATATAAGAGTAATATGCAGATCGACCATCACTCCAACACACAAGATGGCTGCCCCTATGTGGTCAAAGATCCTGACCACATGTGGACACAAGATGGCCACCACAAGATGGCCAGCAGGGGAGAGCAGTTGGGAGGAACCAGGCCTGTAAGGGAGGGAAGTTGTGGGCAATCAGGCCGGCAGGGAAGGGCAGTTGGGGGTGACCAGGCTGGCAGAGGAGGGAATTTGGGGGCAAACAAGCTGGCAGGGGAGCAGTTAGGCATCAACCAGGCTGGCAGGGGCGTGGTTAGGGGTGATCAGGCTGGCAGGCAGAAGCAATTAGGGAGGCAGGCAGGGCAAGCAGTTTGGAGCCAGCAGTCCTGGATTGTGAGAGGGATGTCTGACTGCTTGTTTAGGATCGGGCCTAAGTGGGCAGTTAGACATCCCTGAAGGGGTTCCAGATTGGAAAGGGTGCAGGCTGGGCTGAGGAACCCCCCCTACCCCGTGCACAAATTTTGTGCACCATGTCTCTAGTATAAAAAGATGCTCAAAGTCACTGATCATCAGAGCTGCAAATTCAAATGACAGTGAGGTGTCTCCTCACACATATCAGATGGTTACCATCAAACAAATCAACAAATGAAAACTGCTGGTGAGGATGTGGAGAAAAAGGAACCCTAGGATATAATTAAAAAACTTTGTAGCCTGGAGTGAAGGCCTGAGCCGCTGCAGAAGCTTGGCTTCCTCCATCGTCCAGGGCAACCTTTGCCTCCTGTTCTTCCAGCTCCATGGATGCTGCTATTTATGTTGGAATTTATTTACCTTCTATAATGGAAACTTTGTTCCCTTGAGTGGAAGTCTGCCAAGGTGTATGGAAAGCTTGGCTTCCTCCATTGCCAGGAAAACACAAGCCTCCCTCCTGCTCTTTGTGGCTGCAGCCACCTTAGTTGGGGTTAATTTGCATACTCGCTCTGGTTGGCTGGTGGGCATGGCAGAGTGATAGTTAATTTGCATATTACTCTTTTATTAGATAGTATGTCTGTTGGTCATCTGTATGTGCACTTTGGAGAAGTGTCTATTTAGATCCTTTGCCTATTTTTTAATTGGATTATTTGTCTTCCTTTTGTTATGTTGCATGAGTTCCTTATATATTTTGGATATTAACCCTTTATCAGATGAATCATTGCCAAATGAGTCCAACAGGGGTTTCCCCTTTCATGTTTTGTTTTTATAGAAAATCAAACATTAAAAACACTTTATTTCTAGCCTAACAGCGCCAGGTGTGATGTCTGTGGACTCTGGGTACACACGTGGCTCCAAGAAGGCTCCTGAGGGGGACTTACCTTCAGAGGGCTGACCCAAGGGGAAGAGAGAAGGCCCCCAGACAGGGAGTAGGGGCAAGCATGGGGAAACAGTGCTAATTCTTGGCAAAAGAGATTTTAATGGTGTTGTTCTGGGTGGTCTTAAAGCACGGTAGGGCACTGCGAGCAGCCCCTGCCTGAACCTCATTGTCAAGCTCCACAAAGGCCATGTTGTGCTACCCTGGGACCAGGTGAACCTCCTTAAAGCCAGGGAACTGAATGAAAAGCAGGGACAGCATGAGCTCATTGTTCTTTTGGCAGGTTGGTGAGGAACAAGATGTGATTTGGTGGGTTTTCTGAAAGAGGTTGAGCAGGTGGCATCTGCCATGCTATAAGCTGTTGTGGGGGCATGGCCCCCAGTGGTATCTGGCCAGGAGCGAGGCCTAGAGATGGGATGTTAGGGGGCGGCATGTAGAGAGACTGGCCTGTCCTGTGGTACATGATTTGGGCTGCCTGAGTCATCGGTGGCATGCCCGGAACAGGCCTGGAATGTCCCCCACTACAGGGGCAGCTACCCCACCCTACACGGCCTTCTTTGCAGCTGAAATCTCCAGGCTCTTGGGCTTCCTCTTCTCCCATTTACATTCATGCTCCACGAAAGTGTTCTTCATTTTGACAATGATAGATCTGAGTCAGTGTTGGCATACCGGATACGCATGGGCTTGTCATAGAAGAGAAATCTCTGCATGGAAAAGATGACAAAAGCCAGGCCCTTCATCTTCAGGCTCTGTGGCACCAAGATATCCAGAATCTGGCCAAACTGGGAGAAGATAACAGGGACTTCTTCAGCTCACCCTTCCTGATTCTCTCATTGAGGTTGTTGATATAAATAGTACGGTTGGGATGGGTCTTTGGGAACTGCCATGGAGGAAGGTGCCGCATTTCTGAATGCCAAGCACCTTCCTTTTCATTTTGATTGTTTCTTTTGCTGTGCTGAGCCTTTTATTTTGATGTAGTACCATTTATTTTCTCCTTAGTTTCCTTTGCCTAGGAGATGTATCTATAAACATACTGCTATGAGAGATATCCAAGTTTTTGTTGCCAATGGTTTCTTCCAGGATTTATATGGTTTGATGACTTACATGTCTTTTATCCATTTTGAGTTTATTTTTGTTTATGGTGTAAGTTGGTGCTCTAGTTTTTCTTTCTTTCTTTCTTTCTTTCTTTCTTTCTTTCTTTCTTTCTTTCTTTTTTTTTTTTTGGCATGTATCTGTCTGATTTTCCATGCAACATTTATTGAAGAGACTCTCTTAACTCCATTTTAAGCTTTTTCTTCCTTTGTCAAATATTAACTAACCATAATGATTCGGTTAATTGCTCTGCTCTGTTCCATTGATCTATCGATATATGCCTGTTCTTGTGCCAGTATCAGGCTGTTTTGATTATAGTGGCTTTATAGTATATAACTTGATACCTGGTACTGTGATTACTCCAACTTTGTTCTTCTATCTCATTTGCTATAGCTATTCAGAGTCTTTTTTTTGGTTTCATATAAATTTTTGGAGTATTTGTACTAGATCTGTGAAAAGGCTGTTGGTATTTTAATAGGATTGCAATGAATCTGTAGATTGCCTTTGGTATTGACATTCTAATGATGTTGATTCTATGAATCTGTGCTTCCTGGACTTGTGTGACTTTTTCCTTTATCATGTTAGGGAAGACTGCTGACAATATTTCTTCAAATACATTCTCTATCCCTTTCTTCCTTTATGTCTCTTCTGATACCCCTGCTATTTGAATAGTTATATTTCATGTTGTCCCACAGCTACCTTAAGCTGTCCTCCTGATTTTTATCAGAAAGTATATATGCACCCCTATGTTTACAGCAGCGTTACTTACAATATATAATATCTGGAAATAGCTCAAGTGCCCACTAGTATGAATAAAAAAGCCCTCGTCAGTGTTTAAGAGCATTGGCCTGTGGACTTAAGGACCACGGTTCGATTCCAATCATGGGCATGTACCTCAGCTGCAGGGGGTGCATGCAGGAGGCAATCAATCAATGTGTCTCTCCCACGTTGATGTTTCTCTGTATTTTCCCCTCCTTTATACTCTCTGAAAATCAATGAGAAAAAAAATATCCTCAGGTGAAGATTAAAAACGTTTTAAAAAGCTGTGGTACATATACACAATGGAGTA